CCGCGCCGGGCACCACCGCTCCTGCCTGCACCACACCGGGCACCGCTGCGCCTGCCTGCACCGCGCCGGGCGCTGCTGCGCCTGCCTGCACAGCGCCGGGCACCGCTGCGCCTGCCTGCACCGCACCGGGCACCGCTACGCCTGCCTGCACCGCACCGGGCACCGCTACGCCTGCCTGCACCGCGCCGGGCGCCGCTGCGCCTGCCTGCACCGCGCCGGGCACCACCGCTCCTGCCTGCACGGCGCCGGGCACCGCTGCGCCTGCCTGCACGGCGCCGGGCACCGCCGCTCCTGCCTGCACAGCCCAGCACTGCGAAACGTGCCCGCTCCAGCCTGGGCACCCGTGGGCAGCGCTGCTTTCCCCCACACGCAGTGACCGGCAGGCAGCGCACCCGCCTGGGGCCCTGGTGCACGCGTGGTGCAGGGCCTTGCATGCGGCGTTGCACCACRGCGTTGCACCACRGCGTTGCACCACGGCAGCACTGTGCTGCACAGGCCGGCGCGCCGGCATCGCTGCGCACCGAGGCTCTGCTGGGCAGCTTTGCCCCGCGAGTTCACGAGGCAACGCTCGGTTTACAACCCTCACGTCTGGTTTCCTCCTGCAGCCAAGGTTCGCCTCGTTAAATATTTATTTTCTAATGACTCCAGTGGAGAGCGGTGTGTCTTTTATCAAAGGAAGGCAAGCAGGGAAGGAAACCCCGGCCGCTCCCCAGCGTGCTCCCGGGACCAGAGCCACCGCTTTGGAGGCTGCGCGAGCTCGGGAAGGGCCTTGGCGCGGCCGGCGGCCTCCGCTTCCAGGAAGAGTGGAGCCGGCATTTCTGGTTAAGTAGCTTTCTGCTCATGCTCTGATTACAGGCAGCAACAGAGCCGCAGCCTCCTCCGCGAGCCTCCTTCCTCGTGCCAAAGGGCGCTCATGTCCCGAGTCCAGACCCGCCGCCCCGCGATGCTGGAGGCAGCAGGACGCAGGGCTGTGGTGAGAACGAGGGCCTCCTTGTGCCCCTTTTCTATGAGAAATTTCCCCTATTTGAGGAATGTAACTGAGGCTGGATGAGCTGTGGGATTTGTGGACATGGCTGCACCGGCAGCACCGGTCCCAATTTTGCATCAAAAAGCACGCAGCCATTTTCCCTGTCTGCAGAGGAATACCCAGGGGGGATCCGGTTGCAGTTACCAATCTGCCCCATTTTCGAGGCTCTCTGGGCAGCCGTGGGCGGGACGCGCCAGGATGCAGCGTCCGGGCRCTCCCGCAGCCGGCGGCCGGGCCTCTCCCACCAGCAAGAGCAATTTCCACCTCAAACGCAGCCGGCGGAGGGAGGCGAGGTGCTCGCGCTGCAATTGGGGCAGGTTTTCCAGTGTGAGGAGTTGCCCTTACCAGGGTGCCTGGCATCGCCCCATCCCRCCTCAGCCGACGGCCCGGCTGGGACATGCAGGATCCTGTAGGTGCGAGGGGCCGAGCTGGGCAGCTCCGACAGGCTGCAGCTGCGTCGTGAGGCTGCAGCCGGGGCAGGGCAGCTCGGCTGGCCCACATGCTGGTTGCAGCCCTGTGTGCCGGGCGCCGGCTCCGGGGAGCATGGGCGTCTCTGCGGCGGATGCCGGGGGCTTTAGCATTAACACTGGAGCCCGTGCGCCGGCCAGGCCGGGCTCGCAGGGCCCTGCAGCTCCGGGTGCTGCCCCGGCAGCTCGCCCGGCTCTGGGTGCTGCTCCGCTGGAGCAGCGTGTGCGGGAAGGGAGCACAGGGAAACAGCCTCCAGACGTGCCCAGGGAGAGCCCGTGGTGCTACYGAGCCGGAGAAGCCACTGCGGAGCTGTATCCTGGGTGACCTGCCCTAACACAAGGCCAAGCTGGTGACCCCGGAGGGCTGTCCCATCCCGGGGAGCTCATCCCAGCAAAGTCACCCTGTAAATTAGAGGCCCCAAAGTCGGGAATCGCCATACACGAATTCCCCGGGTGCCTGCCCAGCCATGTAGCCCAGGCGAGCGCAGGCAGGACGCGGCACCCGGGCAGCACCCGCCTTTCCTGGGGGCCTGGGGCTGCCCCGAGGTGTCCCCAGACAGAGGCTGTGACCTGCGCGGGTGCYCGGGAGGGCGCCGGGTGCCGGGCGGTGCCGCGGGCAGGCGGGTGCCCCTGCCCGTGCGGGGCCGTTGGGGACCTGGGCGTTGCTGGGGTCCCCA